AACACTAGAGGTATTTATAAAAGTTTTAGTTTAATCACGTCCTATAGTTATCTCCAATTTTCGTAGTTTCGCCTTGTTTTAGATTATAAACAGTGTTATAATTAGTTGATATTTAAGTACCAAACAGTTTTAAATATATGTTGTTCAAACGCCTATACTTATCTGAACACGATTTGCATTAAATTGGTGTTTCACGACACCGACTGCACTCTGCAGTAGAATTTAGACCAGCGCGGCGCTTGGAAATTCCTCGTATGGCAGTTCACTTTATTTTTATTGTACAACAATTACCTAATTCTAAAATCTAAAAATTCTAAAATATATTGCATCTAAGAGGTACCTTAAACAAAGTTTCATAATTTAATAAAGATTGTTACTTTATCCTTTATGTTAAGAGGCCTGCAGTAGAGGATCACTGACTACATCCGTTACATTAGGGAGGTTTGCTTATCAATCTTTCACACCTCTCGGGGAATTTGTACCATCCGATGTGTAGCAGGAGGATTTATAATGTACAAACGAACAAATGCTAAACTTTATGTTTGCGTGTTCAAAAAATCCGAAAAGAAGCTGTAATTGCAAGAAAGTGCAGTAGTACAGTACCTATGAGGGTGCTCCTAGAGCATTATTTAATAAGTAGGTAGTAAAAGAAAAGAGTGTATAGAAAGTTCGGTTTAATTAGAAATTTTGTCGTAGGATCATTAATTCGAAATTATTCTGCTCCTTGTAACTGCATTGTTGTACGCTGATTGATGAACAAAGATTAAGATCACAATTGTCAGTTATATTCGTAGTTATTTTCTCACAAATATACATTTCGCATACACCGCAAAACTTTCATTGTTTTTATTCTAGACTTTCGTTATGTATAGTTCACTTCATAAATAGACACCGTGTCCCTTTCGCACATACGCATCTATACTATGTATAGGTATATATATTAGTAAATAATATTGGTTATTTACCTTGTGGGTGTGTACTAGAATAACTTTGACCTATATATGTAATTATGCTTACGTGTCACTTTCTAATTACGGGCCCTTTAAGGACATGTGACCCAAATGTTGTTAATGGTAGCTTAGGACACCAATAAAAACTATTGATGGTGTAATTGAACTGCAAATACATTAAACTTATTGTCTGTAGCTACGTTTTACTGCATCACTTATACTTTTTAAGGACGAATGTATAATTATATGTCTTACCTAACTAAATACGCGGCCCCTAAGTACCAAAAGTATTTTTTCAATTAGATTAGAGATTCCTTCCATTTACAGTTATCACCTAAATTTGTTGGCAGTTTCATGAGGTTGGGCAACGTATTCCTTCATTGGCATTTAATAGAAAATTAATAGACAAATAATGCGTACCTACCACAAGTAAAAAGTTCACCCTTCTATTCATTCCCTTATTGATTTATCGATTCGGAAAAATACCTACAAGTATAGTTCATTACCGAGTAAGTTTTTCATCACTTTATATTAACAGACCATTCTTAAGTTGGAAGCTTCACTGTATAGAATTACAAACTTTTAAACATGACTGGGATTTAAATTAAGGGAGGATTCCGTTTTACATTAATACTTAAGAATTGGCCAATTGAAATTTCATTTTGCTTAAAATATGAGTTGAAAAGAGAGTCTCTATCTATACGTCTATACAGTAACTATTCAAGAATGGTGATATAAGGCCATTTCGTATTTTTCAAAAATACATTTTTGACAGTGCAGAACTCGGACATAACAAAAATAATGGGACGAGTTAAACGGACCTATGCGATATTAAAAAACAACGCGTTATAGCGATGATGAGTAAGTTGTAAGAAAGGTGTGAAACCCTCGACCGAAGTTTCAAATTCATTCTACACCGTTTAAAAACAATATTTTAGAAAACGCTCAATATCGAAACTATCGACAAAATAATTGCCTACATTAGAAAAAACATCATGGACAATCATTCGTCTTAAATCGCTGTTAATTATCTCTCTCAATTGGTTGTAGCTCATCATGTTATATTCCAACTTTGTGAAAGGTAAATCAATATATTTTCACAAATTTATACCTTGTGTTTAATTTATTAACGATCCTCGAGATCATGTATAATTTTGTATTGTCTGTCCGCCTGTCAGTCCGTCTGTCTGTCCTCCTGTCTGTCCGCCTGTCTGTCCATGTGTTACGGTACACCCTGTAGGTACATGAGATCGACATTCATCAAAGTTCAAATAAGTATTGAAACGATATCGCAGTTGGCACGCATGGCAATTGTTTGTCTTGCCTTTCTTTCCTTTTCAAACTGTCGAATCGTTAAGGTCGGTTGTGCAAATATTATAAGTACCTACCGAGTGAGATTGGAACCGGTCAGTCGCCACCAAAGATACCCACGGTACGTCACTACTCACTACAGGACGATAAGATTACGGGAAATATCCCGGTCACCATTTTGGGCGTCGCGCGTCGCGATCGGCTGGATCTGCTGCGGGCCGGGACAGTCGGGTGGAGGTATATCTACCGCTCCTTTTTTCGCCGCTCACCTTTAATTTAATTAAAATATATATAGTCGCGTCAAACTTGGACTGTGATAAAATGGTTATTGCTAATTACTAGTTAACGCACATGGTGCACCCTATTCTCTATGTATTACTAATTATTAATAAATTAATTGTACCCCACACAATATCGATCTTACCGATCTGCGGCTTCCCCGCTTATTATTATCTTCTATTAGTATTAAGCGAGTCGCTTCACCGCAACTCGCTACACATGTGCACGATAACTTTGTGTAGAAACGATATACATATATATACATACATGTTCTTTAGGATATAAGAAAGGTCGCTATTGTCAGCTACGTAGAATAACGGGCCAAAAAGTTACAGCCCAAAAACTGCCCAAACCTCCAAAACATGGTTTCTTTTCTATCTCGTGTTACAAAGAACATATGAATGTCCGGTTTTCTGTGTTAGTAAATATTCCTTAAACCTCAGGCAGATGCAAAAAATAGTATTGCGCATGCGCATTCCAACTTTTGTATTTCCCCAATCCCATTTATTAAGGATCCTTTATAGCGCATTATCTTGATGCTAAAAACAAGATGTTAAATTATTCTTCTGATTTTTCTGATCAAGATATGTGAAAATCGTTATTTATGCACCAAGATCGTTGGGGAAAAGACTAGGGGCATTATCTCAATGCCCAAGACATGAATTTTTTTTGCATTTTTGTGTATAAAATGTATTTTATAATATTGAAATAAATTCGTTAAGGGTGATTGTAATACTGAGGATCCTTCGATAATTCGTTATATCGGTTTATTTGTTAATATTGTTGTGAGACCTATCCTTCACTTCTGGGAATCCCACGATTTACCTCTAGCTAGCTCAGTTGTAATTAAAATGAAAACAAAATTTTTATCCGCATCTCAAGGTCCAGCTGGATTCTGCCACCCTACAGCATTCCAACAATGACATAAATACGTGGCTTAACCAAATCCTTAAATTCCAATATGAAACTTTACCCCCAGATTTAATCAACTTGAAACAAAGTAAGAGACGCCGACAATTACCTCTCCTTGACTCTAATAAACAAAACCTGGATTGCAATGACTGGTTTAATTTCAAACAAAAAATTGCGTAAATTACTGTTTTACAAAATGTTACAATTTTAAACAGATAAATGACACACACAAAAAAAAACAAATTACTCAAACATTACAAAAAAAAAAAACATGACAAAACAAAACACTAACTACTACTTACTTTTAAAATTAGTCCGAATAACGTATTCCGATAAAAAGAGGTATCCGTACACAATCACGTAAACCAACCACTCAAACACCGACGTCTTCTCTCTTCGGGTACCCACAAATTCAAAACTTCCGTGTTTCCGCAAAATAAAACAAACAGGACGGCGACAAACTTCTTAAACTTCTCAAAAATTCTTCTTAAAACGGCAGACACAAAATTCTAATTAAACCTGGATCCAACTACGCAGGAAAACTTCCACAAAATTCAAAAAATAACGTAACCGAAGAAGCGCCGGTTGGCTTTGTCACGACCAAAAAGCCCCGCTCTCATCAAAAATTTTCTATTTAAGCCAAAAGCCCTTCTCCTTTCTTCCACACCCCGTCCGCCAATCACGCGAAGCGTCGATTTTTCAACTTCTTGCTGAACGGCACGTACGCCCGGCAATTCTGCGAAGAACCTTATCTCTACTTCGCGCTATACCTCGTTAACGGCAAATAAAAATTTAAAAAAGAAATTTACATCGAAAAAAATTCTAGGAATAAAATAAAAACAGAACACTTCTAAGAAATTGAACCAAAACTATAACATGAAATTTACGCAATCCTGTGTCTCAAATTATAAATAACCCCCCCGGTTAATTAATTGAACTAAACAAAATTGTCACATCCAGACGCTCTATAATTTCTTTCAAGTTACAACTAAAACAAAATAACACAACAATATATTTAGATGAAATTTTGTATGTAGGCACCTCGAATAAAAGTAAAACTAGGGCCGAATCGAAAAATTTGTTTTGCGCATGCGCAGTCGGTTTTTTTTGTTTGTTAAGATATTTAAATGAAATTTCGTATGTAGGCACCTTACATAAAAGCAAAGAGTATATAACGTACTCTTTGATAAAAGTAAACGTAATGCCGATTCAAAAAATTTGTTTTACAAGCCATGCTGATCTGATGGGGCGGAAACAACCCCTTAAGGTGTATTGTAAAAATGATGTATGTGTGAATATTTCGAGGATCGTTCAGTATTCAGGTGTATCGGATTTTTTTATTAGGTAACAATAACAATCGCGTTGCGTATCTTAGCCAATAAACATATTTTATATTCTATTCTATAATTGCAACTATGTGCTTAATATACCTAAACGTAGTTAGTAATAATTTGCACCTATAACCTATACTATTAACCGTCTCTGATAAAGTATTTTTTAATATAAATTGTGACAATAAATTTACGTAAGTATAAAGAATACACATACCTAATCCCTTTTGGAGTGTTTAAGGTGGAATAAACATATAACCAAAAAATGTTCGGTATATCAGTTCTTGTGGTTATATACCTACTGTGATTGACTAACACTAATATTGTATTAAAAGTTATTCATTAAATCATTAACAAGACTTCGTATAATAAATCAGATTTCATCTTTCACGACAGTTGAACTGAACACCATATTATAATTTTTTCGCACACTTAATGCTATGCTATGGGTACTAAATGAAAAAGTTTTACAATTTGCAGTTCGCACCAAACAATAATTTTGTTCATCTCAAACCCACGTCACTCAGATTCAGATTTAAGATTTAACAAATCCGCACCTACTTACAAAGTATGTACCTAATAATAGCAGTGTTACAATCAATAAATGCATGAAGCAAATAACAAACGTAATTGAATGTAATTATTGAAATGGAACATATTTATTTTTAGATGTACAGATTATCATTCTTTCCTACAGAGTACTACTGCATTACAAGGTTAAAGGAAAGCAATGCCAATTTCTTTGTTAGATGAATGCAATTTACATATCAAAATGTCAGAACTCATTCTAAGTACCCAGCTACCTACTAATCAGGATTCTGTACGTACACTTTCAATGTATAAATTGAAATTCTCGACTACCACCGAATAATATTAAAATACCTTAATTTATAATTGGAATGAAAACAATTGATCTGGAAAATGAATCCTAACATTTTACCACAAGGACGTAACTATTCACTTACAGCAAAAAATGTTTCTCTGTATTGAAAATAAATTATGCGATTATTATGTAGTAGTTGTCGTCTATTTGACCTTCTGAAAAAGTGTAACGTTTTTATGAAATCTGTAGGTAATTACGCTTGATTGTATTTTGGACATATGTTTTTGTGTGGAACTAGTTTTATATTCAAAGGTAGAACACAATGGCAAAATTATGAGATAAATCTTCAAGTATTTGATTGCCGTTTGCGCATCAGAACAAGCATTGAACATCCAAAGCCGAGAATCTGTGGGTAAATATTTAAATCATATTACCCATTCAGATTTTTTGTAATTAGAATTACAATTAGTTTCGCATCAAATGCGAAGTAAATTAGATCCTAATTGTGTATTGTTCGAACACCACTGTAAATTGCAAATATTTATCATCCATAAGAAAAAGGCGGAATTTCACAAAACTATAACTGTTTACATGCTACGAACACGAACGTCTTATAAGATCAGTTACTGTTATCATGTTATTTACACTGTTTCCAAGAATTAAATAAACTATTACGCAAGTCACCTCTTCTTATAGTAAACTTTAATGATTTTATGATACGCAGTTGCTCGTATCCTTTTATAAAGTCTTACCAGCGCAGATTAATTGCACTACATAAGCATTTGACATCAATTTTTCAAAATTTGTTCCAACAGAGATGAAATTAACTTGTCATTGGAAGGTCACTAATAGTTAAATTTAGATGAAAACCAAGATAAAAAACAGATAAGCATGATAATCTAATATAAGAGCAGAAGCTATTTGACGTCATTAGAAACGGGGACTCCAACTTCCAATTCCGTACTAGTGGATACGACCGATACGGGGGTATAGATACGAGTGTTCAGAATATCCACAAGCAGGCTACAACGTGGAGGGAGTTAGAGGGCCATAAGTATCCGCCTAATAGTATATCCAGGTTGGAATTTTTAATTTCACGTTTACTCTAAAAAGCGTTTAGGACAGAGGGAGAAATACTGAGATACAATCCAAAATACTCGGTCCGGGATAAATGTGGAATTTTTTAAAATAAGAAACTTCTACTCTCCCAAACGTGGATATGTTACTAAGATTGTTATATTGGATATGGCAACTATCAACTGTTATGATGGGAGACCCTTCTCTGCATTAAATTTCGTTAAAGGATTAGTATCGCAAATACTCTTACCTAATAATAAACCCACATGTAACATAAAAAAAAACAATTTGCCTCTATATAGATAAGTTCGCAAAAACACGTGTTTAATGAATAAACCGATACAACGAAATATCGAAGGATCCTCAGTATTACAATCACTTTTAACGACAATTTATTTTAATCTTACAAAATACATTTTATAGTTAACAAAAATGCATCAAATTCATGTCTTGGGCTTTGAGATAATGCTCTTGGTTTTTTTCCCAACGATCTTGGTGCATAAATAACGATCTTGGTGCATAAATAACGATTTTGACATGTTTTGATCAAAATCCATGTGGTCCATAAAAATAGATCAAATTCATGTCTAGATCATTGAGATAATGCTCTTGATCTTTTTCCCAACGATCTTGGTGCATAAATAACGATTTTGACATGTTTTGATCAAAATCCACGTTTTCGCCAAAAATTCATCAAATTCATGTCTTGGGCATTGAGATAATGCGCCTAGTCTTTTTCCCAATGATCTTGGTGCATAAATAACGATTTTGACATGTTTTGATCAAAATCCACGTTTTCGCCAAAAATTCATCAAATTCGTGTCTTGGGCATTGAGATAATGCGCTTAGTCTTTTTCCCAACGCTCTTGGTGCATAAATAACGATTTTGACATGTTTTGATCAAAATCCACGTGGTCGTCAAAAATGCATCAAATTCATGTCTTAGGCATTGAGATAATGCGCCTAATCTTTTCCCAACGATCTTGGTGCATAAATAACGATTTTGACATGTTTTGATCAAAATCCACGTGGTCGCCAAAAATGCATCAAATTCATGTCTTGGGCATTGAGATAATGCGCCTAGTCTTTTCCCAACGATCTTGGTGCATAAATAACGATTTTGACATGTTTTGATCAAAATCCATGTGGTCCATAAAAATAGATCAAATTCATGTTTAGATCATTGAGATAATGCTCTTGATCTTTTTCCCAACGATCTTGGTGCATTAATAACGATTTTGACATGTTTTGATCAAAATCCACGTGGTCGCCAAAAATGCATCAAATTCATGTCTTGGGCATTGAGATAATGCGCCTAGTCTTTTCCCAACGATCTTGGTGCATAAATAACGATTTTGACATGTTTTGATCAAAATCCACGTGGTCGCCAAAAATGCATCAAATTCATGTCTTGGGCATTGAGATAATGCGCATAGTCTTTTTCCCAACGATCTTGGTGCATAATTAACGATTTTGACATATTTTGATCAAAATCCATGTGGCCTCAGAAAAATAATTTAACATTTTTGAATCACACACATGCGGTTATCAAACGTGCACGTTATCAACTCTTTCAGCATCAAGATAATGCGTTTGAAAGCTTTTACAACTCTAAATTCATGTGTAAAGAATAATTTTGGGTACATTTTGCTCTAAAACTTTTGACCGAGACCACAGAGAAGAGTTATATTGAATTGTTACACATTTAAGAGTCATAGGGAATAATCTAGCGAAAGTCCGAACTCGATACATGACCTAGGGAATGAAATATGTTAATTTTTATTATATTGAGTTCGTAGTTTTTCCTGTTCCCGATTCACTCGAAGTCGTATAACTTTTGTTCCTGTTGAACCAGCTTCCTGAAAATCAATAGCGTCCGTTCTTAATGTCCAACGTACCCGTATACCAAATTTCAACACAATTGGCCACTTTTAAAAAGAGTTAGAGCGCACACGGACGGACGGACGGACGGACGGACGGACGGACGACAATACAAAACTATAAAGGATCTGAGGATCCTTAATAAATAGTCAAGTAAAGTCCAATGATCGCCTAATCCACCCTTATAGGAGTATATTAGAGCCAAAAGTAGTGTTTTAACGTTCGTTGTACGAGTATACTAATGCCCGGTTTCACAAACAATGATTAAGGTTAATCAATGATTAAAAATATTAGAATGTTAGCCCCTTAGATTATACGCTCATTTGTTTAACATTCTTAATATTTTTAATCACTGATTAACCTTAATCATCGTTTGTGAAACCGGTCATAAGATAGTTTTTGGGAAGCTCGGCAGCTTTGCTTATCCTGCTACAGACTTTGAATATAAGTTTATAAGTTTATATCCAAAGGAAGTAAAGGTACAAGTTAGTATACAGACCGATGATCAAGGAGTGAGCTTGCCACTCTTATGAAACAAACTTATGAAATATACGAGAAGATGTATCAAACAATTATTTGCCACAACGCGTTTGATGTCGCATCTATACTCAATGACCAATGTACCCTAAATCTAATTGCTCTTACATGCGAGATTGCATGTTTAATTAAAAACTCACGTTTTATCACAGATATACGTATATCTGTGCTATTATCCAGTGGCGGATCCCGACAACCTTTTCAGGAAGGGCAACTGTGAATATAAATCTTTTAACTTCGATCGTAAAGACGCTCCATCCCCCAATTACGGTTACGAAGAACAGATTGTACGCAGTGCACATGTTTAGTCAGATAGAAAGTAGAGAGTGTAATGGAATACTGTAAATTAAGTTGTTTATAACATTTAAAAGGGTGTTATTTGACTTTTCGCAAGCCTTTTTGCCTTGTCGTAGGGGACAATTGCCCCCTTTTCTCCCTGCTGAATCCACCACTGCTATTATGAACAAATCGTAGAATACCGTACTGTAATGGAACCGAATTTACCCGTTAAAATTCAATTTAAATGTTCCCGAATCCGTCCCTGGCCGCCACTAAAAAATTCAAGATTGCGCTTTGTTTCGTTTCCGTGGAACACGTGTTTTTTTCTTCTCTGCCCTACATTCAAATGGGCCAAAATTTACAATAAAAGTGCCGAACATAAGCTATACGAGAGGGAAGTTAATGGTCCATATCGACCCGATGACTCGGAGAGCGTCGATATTAAATGTTGTGCTTTTGTTGAGGGCAGCAGTAATTTTTAGGTTTCGTTGTTCACGTATATTGCATTCATCTAGTAATTATATGATCGTGTTAGATTATTTTCCAAATTAACGACATTGCAATACAGCATGGGCATTGCCATTTATAGTGCATTACAAATACTAATTGTTCTTAAATAATTATGCTGATCATACTTTGAATTAAATACAAGATTCCATTATGTTTTTTCTACGTAAATATGTTATTTTTCCACTTAGAGTACTCAGTACCCCTTTGTTCCTAGCGCTGGTGTTACCTGCCAACCCGCAATATGAATTTCTGACTGATTTACGTGTTTTTTATTTATATTTAGATACAGTATGTTCTCAGGGTTGATATTCAATGCGAGTGTGCAGAATTAAACGATCCAATAAATATATATTATAGCGATTCGTGGATGGTGATGTATTTGGAAACATCGACACTACATTGTAAATGTATAATTAAATTTATTGCACCATATTTTCTTTCTTTTGCATGAATAGGTTACCGATTATTTACAGGGTGTTTCATCTGGGAGCGAGTGATGTACGTTAGGTCGTTGATTGTTACATATTGGACTTGGCATTGAGAATTAATTA